CATACATTCAGTGATTTTTTTTTTTTTTTACTTACTTACTTATTTCTACTTCAAACTACCAAACAAAGAAAAACTGCTGGCTGAATATGGGAGAGCCAGAATTTCTTCAGGAAATCATAGCCTCTGACATCAGGAGCTACCTCTACAGAAGGAAAATATTGACTAAAATTAAAGTACTGGAATACCACATGCCAAGCTATGTAACTACTTAAAGCAATCATCTGTGTAATGTACTATCAGGTGTAAAGTATGCATTCACCTGAAAAAAAAAAAAATTAAAAAAAATCAGAGCTTTCCAGCGGTTACCAAGCAACCAAGAGCAGAAAATAATATGAAGCTTTCAAAATAGAAATGCAAACCAAAGCCGAAATTAATTATTTAAAAGTCAATCCAGCTGGTTTATCAACTACTCTCTAAAAGCCTTTCTTATAAAAGCTCCTGTTTAATCTCTGACCTCTTAAACAAATAAACAAAAGGCAATTTTTAAATAGATGCCTTCCACAGCATATATTCTGAAGGTCCCCCACTATTCTAAAAGCAGATTTACTATTCTCTGTTGAAATCTAGGAATGCTACATTTAACCTAAATATTTACCAAAAGTTCTCTTTGGGAAAAGGTAAACTTTGTTTTACAAGCAACTATGAAAACAGTACTCCAAAGACATAATAATTTACCATTTTATATTTCAGTTCAATTAGCTTCCAATGAGTGAGCACAAGGAATGAGGAGAGGCACAAATTGTACAGTTGTACAAGTTGTTGGTTAAACTCCAGCTTTCCAGTAAAATACTTAATTACAGAGACCTTAAAGACAACAACCATACAACAGCTATTCTTAGTTTTGCTCATCTAAAAAGATATAGATGCTTGGTTCATTACTTTTAGCAGCAACTGTGCATTGTTGTTTGCCCAACTCCAAGATTTTCTCCTACTGCTTTAGAGCATGACCAATAAAAGATATCTATTAGTCACCTTAATGATTCTTTCATTTTCTTTTGTACTTTTATTGTATTAGAAAATGGTGAATCACATTGTAAATTATCATTATTTTAAAAAGCACATTTTTGTGATTCAGAATCAAACCTAGACTCACTGAGGAGCTGTAAAGGAACACCTAATCTAGCAAAATGTCCTAAACCATACGCCTAATCAGAGACCGAGTTTCAGATGTTCAATCCAGATCTGTACACATACACCTAGTCTCAATCACTGCTGGTTTCTCCAGCATACCTTATAGATGTTTTGCTACCACTTGATGTTTTGCTACCACCACCAATTAAAGGCCCAAAGATTTATCAAAAACTACTTAGTTCACTTTTCAAAATAGCCAAACAATTGATCTTATCTCAGACTTATAATTCATATTATTTTACATTTACCCAATTTCTCCTCCTAAATTACACCAGCAGGACTAGAAGTATGCCCGCACACCTTTTTCCTTGTTTGTCCTTAACTATAGCTTAGCACATTTAATAGCAAGACCACAGCTGGCAGAATCACACATGCATAAAAGCTGCCAGCACTTCCAGCTTCTCAGAACTGCATTACTGCTCCAGGAATATACCTCTAAACCAGTGTCTAGCTCTACTGCTCACAAGAACTGTAAATATTTGTAATATTTACAATACAGAGGTACTGTAAGGTGGGGTTCAGGCATGGCACAGCCAGGCAAAAATTGTGTCTGTCTTTTTTTGACATTGTCTGTTTCATATGTGCAACCATGAAATGTAATCCCAAACAATGCATCAACTGGCAACGCTTTCGTAAATTGCATAAGACTTCTTGTACATGGGTAGAAAACATGGTTATTTCAAAGAAATACCAATGTACAAGAAACCTTGGCTTTTTACCAGATAAGTAGTCTGCTTGGTCTGTATTATTTTTCTTTAACTCAAATCCACCTCACAAGAACAAAACCACATCAAATTCAGAACCATAAAAGACATCATGTGACTGAACTATGTCCAGACAGCAAACACTGATTCATACAGATTCCTGTTTTTTTTTCCCTCTTAAAATAATATGTATAAGTATTGAGCTATTCACTTTTATCTACTTCCATCAAATTCTCAGTAATTTTTAATGAGGTTTCAAATTCTTAGTATGGCTCCTGCCTTCAGGATGCTCTCATCTGGATTGAGTCATATCTCCACACATATATTATGCTTTAAAGACAAGACCATAACATTCAAACCATCACCAGAAACCCACGGCTTCAGAATCATCTCTGCAATGACTAAACTCATATCTTGCTTCAACTCCTGTCAAGAAAAAATGATGATCTATATGGAAATTTAAGACCACACTTTTGATAATTAAAAAAAAAAAGTGTGTTACTTCTGAGAAAGCTGTCTTGTGATCACATAAAGTTTTCAAACAGCTATACTATCAATCTGAATTTCAAGCAGGCAGAATTGAAAAAAAAAAAAAGCCTAGAGAAAGGCTCCCTCTTTGTGCAAGACAACACATGATAAAAGCCTTTTAGATGTCAGATCACAAAACTGAGGAAGATGTAAAAGGCTTACAGTAAATTCTGAAAAGTTAAAATAGCACTCCCCTAAAAACGTAAGACATAATATTACAGCTTTTTCTCCTGCAATCTAGTCCTGGTGAGCAGCTCGCTGTGCAGACTGCACATCAGACAAAATACCTTCAGACAGCGACAAGGGTCCGCACGCCCACGGCAGACTGCGAGGCAGACGCCTGCCTCACCAGCCACCTCCATTTCTCACTTTCCGCCTAAAAATTTATCCTCCTCCGCTTTGCAAGAAGCTCCCTTGGTACTGACATCGGCAACGGACGCCTTCTCACCTGAGCAACCTTCTCACAGTCTGCCCAGCCAGGCGGCATATACCCCTGAGTTAGTGATTTTGCACCACAAGCCACCACATTCTGCAATTTGTACCCTGACATTAACTCTTTTCCACACATCTCTCCAGCAAGGTCGGGAAGAGGGGGCCTGGGGAGGGGAGGGGGAGGAGGAGAAAGGAAGGGGGGGACAACAACAAAAAAAATACATAGAAACGTATAGATATGAAAAGAACGAGCAACCCACACGCTGCAACCTCCGAGCCGGCAGGTTTCTCCTCCCCGGAGGCGTCCGTCCCCCGCCCACCCCGGTGCCCAGGCCGTGAGGGGACGGCTCCCCTCAGGCGGCCCTCAGGCTGGGGGGAATTTGGGGTGCACACCTCTGCCCCCCCCGGGTGCCCCTTCCCAAGGAGGGGCTGTGCTCTGGGGGGGCTCGCAGGGGATTAGGGTTGGGGACGGCGAGAGGTGACCCATTCCTAAGCCGAGCGCTTTATCTGCGGCGGGATCTGTGCCGGGGCCGGACTCTCCCTTTGCCCTTCGCTGGGAGGGATCGGCCCCCGCAAACCCCATACCCCCCCCCGGAGGGGGGGCGCGCCCCCCCCCCCCCCCCCGCCCCTTTCCACGACCTGACCCCGCAACCCCCCGCGCTCCGAGCCGGGCAACGGCGGGAAGCGCTTCCGAAGCCGGGGCAAGGGGAAAAGAGGAGGAGGAAGAGGAGGAGAGGGGGGGAAGAGGAGGGCTGGCGCCTCACCGGGGAGGCGGCGTGTGCGGAAAAGGGGGAGGGGGGCGCTACCTACCCGCCATCTTGCTGCAGCCCCCGCGGGGCGCCCGGCTACATTGAACTCGCGGGCGAGCGGCGAAGAGGAGGGCGGCGGGTGCGGGCGGCAGGCCCCGCGCGGTCCAGGCCCCAGGCCCGGCGGCGTCTCCCCGCGTCCCCGGGAGAGTCGCGCTGGGAGGGAGGGAGGGAGGGAGGGAGGAACGGGCGGGCGGAGGGAGGCGGGAGGAGGAGGGGTCTGGGCCGGACACGCTGCCCCCGCCTCCGCCCGACGGAGCCGCGCTCGTTCTCTCGCTCGCACAGGCGGCCGCGCCTCCCCGCCCCTCGCTCTGACTCACACCCGGAGCCGCCCGGTCCGGCCCGGCCTGGCCCTGCCCGCCGGCGGTGGGGCCGGTGACCGCCAGGGCACGGACCGCTCACCTGGGCTCGCCGCTCCCCCTCACCACCCCGCCTCCGCCGCCATCTCGGGGCTCGGGCTCCTCCTGCCGCCCGCCGTGGGGCGGGGAAGGGCAGCGGGGCTGAGGCGAGGCCCCGGCGCGCTCCCGGCCCTGCCCGGAAAGGCTCCCGTTTCGGGTCACCCGCGGAGACGGGGATCCCGCGAGGGTCCTCCTCCCCTTGGGCTGGATGAGGGTCGCTTCCAGAGGGAAGGAGGTCCCGGCGAAGACAGCAGGGCCACAGAATTCCCCGCTTCGGGGCGTCGTGGGGTCACCGGGAGTGACACCGTGCCGCCCGCGGGCTGCCCACGGCCACCCTCCTCCCGTAAGGGCCGCGTTCCAGCAGCTTAAACCCCGTGGGGTTAAAAACACGGGGGGCTCCCCACTGCCGTGCGTTCTGGCTTTTGTTTTAAAAGCACCCGATATAGCTCTGCACATACGCAAAGGTATCCATCCTTTTCTGCTTCTGTTGGCTGTACCTCGTGGTCACTGCTGGGGGTGGTTGTCATTTTAACTGCTTTGATGGATTTCCCACTCTTAAATTGGAAGATTAAAAGCGCTGGATAACACAAATGCTCTAATTAGGTGATACCCAGAGCGCTTGATAAAAGAAAGGACCATTACTGGTACTGGTGCTACCTCAAGAGTTTTATCCAAGTTTTCCACGCCCTTATTTTTGTCTTTCTACTAATTGATGAAGTTGTTAATGCACAGAAAAGCAAACTAAATTATTTTTGAAAAAAGCATGCAATTTCAGTTATAAGCTGCTTCTTAACATCATACTTTTTTTTTTTTTATTTTGTAAATTGGACAAGGATTAAATCTCTGTAGTCATTCACTCTGTTTGCCATAGTGGCTGAAAACGTGTAATCTTCTTTTAAAATGCATACATCCCTTTCCTTACCCAACACTTGCTTTCATTCAGATATATAACCTCAAAACCTGAGTAAATCAAGTAAATTCACCATGACTAAGTTATATGAACCATGCTATTCTCTGACAGGGTAATTTAAGAGGAGATTCAGGGGAAATATTTGACATCACAAATCACTGGCAATGCTGGATGTAATAGCAATAGATCCAGAACAGAAAAATAGTGTACTTGAAGATCCCATTTTTATTACCTTTATTACTGCATATTATTTCCCGGAAGTTTTCTCTCATCTCCTCTCTGCATCCTTTGGGACAATCAAGGCCCAGTTTTGCTTCCTCTGAATTCAATAGCAACAGCCTAAAATGTGATGTGGTTCGCTTTACTGAAGGAATCGAGGGGTTTGAGGACTTTTTCCAGCTCTTTACAAAGAAGCACATTAACCACCGGTTACTGTGGTCTGAGACCATCAAAGCTACCTTGACCATTATTATTATCATCAGAATGAGAAATGGTACTTAATAGGATATGTCTGTGACAACTGGTTTTATACATTGGAATGCACATGAATTACTGCTCTTAAAAGTGTATTTATAGTGTTAATTATCGTCAATTAATTATGTAATGGTTTCTAGTGTATTTGGGATTTTTTTTTATTTCTATGTACATATTTGTTTAAAGAGAAGAAGTACAATTTATGTAATAAAGCAAAGTAAAATGGTGATCGCAAGAGATCATACTTAACATAAATTCATATAAATTAATTTTGGATCTTACTATGGGCATGTGATCTTAGGTGGTGGTTAGTTCTTTCTCTGTAGGCAGGACCGTGTGGTATTTAAATAGCACAGATAACAAGGATCAGTGTGATTGTTCAGGAATTGCAATTACTTTCCCTATATTACCCGTAGAACATCAGCCCGTGTTCCTCAGGCACAGTTGGTCCCAGCACCATCACTGGCAGGAAAGGTCTCTTCCTCTGTGAGTGGAAACTCTGGCAAAACCTTTGACTCACACAATGACACCTACATGGAGGGAGAAAATAAATAAATAAATAAATATTTGGCTTCATACCAACACACAATGCAAAATCACACTTAATGAATAAGCAACCAGATATTTTTAAACTTCTCAGCCTCAGTGAATCCCCAGGTACACCTTAAGGGCCTGACAGAAAGTTCCAGCTGATGGTAAGATTCCCTGCCAGTGGTCACAAGCAAGGCAGACAGAGATCCCGTAAGTCTAGGACAGACACTGACTCTTTCAGACAGTGTGATGAGCTGCCTTTCTAAAATAACATACCTAATGATGAAAGAAAATTTTCATAACAGACTTGTTTTATTAGACGAGGCGTGTTAAGGAGCAAGCAATGTAGCACCTGCCAAAACGTTCTAGCAGGTTTTGTGCTGGAGTTCTCATAGTCAGTTTGAGTACCCTTACAGGCACTGGGAAGTTAAAAATGCAAGAAATAGATAAACTCACATTCGCACACTCTATCTCGTGGAAAACCACACTACAAAGGGTGGAAGCTAAAGCTGTGGATGGAAGGGTACAAATGGAACACTCCTTGGCAAGACCCTTTCCATGTGATAGAAGACAGCTGTATCACTATTTACATGATGTATCGTATCATGTGTCTTGCAATCAGCAAGACATTATAGTATTTACATGAAGAACCTACACAAGTGACCGAGTTAGACACCAGATGCCCAACACCCATCTAGACATATTTGCTGTGTGTTATTCTGTAGTTGGATTAGTGATGCTTCTTCAGTCAAAACTGCTCCAGGTATAAGGACCTCAGGCTCAGAAACCCTGCAGCCCCAAGAACTCACCCATATTGTCTTATCATATTATTACCTAGCATATTATTATCTGTTTTCTCTCATTTGCTGTGAAGAAGCAAGTCTGATCAGACAACAATGCCAGCTTTCAGTGTCCACACACTAAGTAGCTTTACATTTCTCCCAGGCTACCCTCCGTGTGTGGGAAGAGCTCCCCATAAATATCTGTGCAGCCATTTTGCTATCCTCCTTCAGATTCCTCTGCAAAACTCTCTTTTCCTGTAAAGCCTACCAAAAAATGTCCGGGGTTAGATTGCTGGTGCACCAAGGCAACTGCTTATCCTCTTGAGTAATACTGACTCATAGTTTTCTTGTCCACCCCCTGGATTTTGTCTGCACACATATGTTGTGCTTTGTGGTTAAACTATACATTCTTAACTTTTTAGATGATCTTCTTGTTCTTCATAGAGTGCTTAACCAAAATTGACCCATGACTAAATATATAGATTAAGATACATATACACACATAAGCACAGGGGTATATCTGTAATATGTCTGGATACACATGAAAACCTGTTTGCTGAAGCCTGGGACAAGGTCAATTTGCATGTGAAAATATAGTAAAACATTTCCACTAAAAAGAGGTGTTTGTCATAAAACCTTTTCTTTCTTCTCCTTTCCCTTTTCCTTCCATCTCCCCTTCCCCTATTCCTGTTCTTTTTTCACCTCCAATAAAAACACTGGAAGGGTTTTTTTTGATACATCCTGCGTGGTTGTAAAAGTTTTTGACTGTGCACCACTCAGTTTTATTTAATTTTCCTTGTTCCCTGGGTAAGAGCTTGAGTTGGTGACTACCTGCAAACCTCGCACCCAGTGAAGGCCTCACAGAGGGATTATAAACACATTAGTATGCCAAACATGAATAAGTTAACACCTAAATTTGCTGACAAAGAGCTTGGTTAATACAAAGTTAAGTTTGCCTTGGGGGTTCCTCATGTCATTCCAGGACAGCAGCAAGTTCAAGTGATGCTCAAGCCTCTGAAAACTAGAGAATACCCACCTGAGGTTCATCCTGGTGCAACATTAAGGCTGCACCTGGAGCTCGCGATGGCTCTTGGCGTTAATTTGCAAGCAAATCCATTGCAGCGGTGGCATGAAGATGGTAGCTGTGTGGGCAAAAGGAAAAGAAGTGTGTAAATCAGGAGACAAGTCTCAATGCCTCATTTTGCTATTAAGACCACTACCAGTGGTGATATCCTCAACTCCTTTGGCTGTAGACACTGCGTGAGGGTGCTCTGTGATCTTTATAGCCAGCAAGTGAAAGTCTATGTCTGTAGATGATTCTATACGTGCTTAAGCTCACTGTAAAAGAGGACAAGGAATTAATGTATCAGAGGCTGTTTCAGGCAGCTGGGTCTCAGCGTTTGAATGCAGCATACATACATACAGGATTCCTCATTTCGTAGCGCTCACCTGGATGCCAGTTTTCCTTTAAGAGAGCTGTGCTACAGCTCTGGGATGCTCTGCTTCAGGAATCATGTGTCATGCATATGTATGCCAGGGGAAGACTGAATCACTGATCAAACAAGGCAGAGTTCAGGTTGTACCGATGTATTTTAACTCTGGATTTCCTGGTTCTCAGGGGTTTGTGTCTCACCGACATACTGGAAAGAAACAAGACGGGGCAACCAGAAACTGAATCATTTCCTCACTGAATTGCCTGATAAATATATATTTATTTACTTATTTTGAAAAGAGAGTAAAAAAAGTCCTGAATTTTGGCTATTTCAAGACACGTATATGTGCATCTGGGATACTATTGTAGTAGATTATGATATCCCCCAGCCCTTCATCCTAGATCTCCAAATTACTTTGAAAGGAAATAAAGGTCATTGTTCTCCTCTTAACGAGGTAAAGATGCAGAGACCAAAAGAAGCAAAGTGATGTGCCTAATACTTTTTGAGGCCTGAGATGGAAAATAGTGAATAAAATAGAACAAAGCACACCCCAAAAAGTCCTCAGTGCTATTTTTCACTATCTGATGCCACTACATATATGACAGGTACTGATCTAATGTATGGTTCCTAATGTGCCAGCTCAAAGTTGTGTGCCAGGCCAGACCCTGCCTCCCTGTTAGACTTGCCCTTGAGTCAGCCAGGCTTTCCAGCCTTTCCTCAGCCCACACAGTCTCCCCACCCAGCCAGTCCCTACCTGGCAATACCCAACCTGATTTTCAGATTAATATATTTGCATTTATTCACTCCTTCATTTCCTGGTCTACTGAGTTTAAATTTGCATATCTCTAGGTCTGCTTAGATATTGGCACATACAGTCAGTTCACACTCTTCTTCTTCTGAATCAGAGTCAAGTTATTCAGATTCCAGAACACATCTCAGAGGGACAAATGGCACCAAATTACCACTACTGCCAAACCTGCTTTTCCTTTTTTGCAATTGTCCTCCAACACCAGTTTCACATCCTTCCAACTTGTCCCTATGATTCTTTCTCTTCTTACCACAGCACCAGTACTCCTCACCCTCTTGCTCCCCCATCCCGAACTCCTCTCAGCAAGCTGCTGTGTACTACTAATTCTGTTTTCATTGACTGTTTTTGAACCTTCTTATTGTTCTCTTATACTCACATTGTATTTTTCCAAAGTAAAATAGAAACAAAACCCAAATCCTGGCTGAAGTGTGGTCTGGCAGCCTGTCTGCAGACCCTTTTCAGATTTCAACTGGGCTTAGGTCAGCTTCAAGAGTAACTCTGGTTCACAATCTGTGTAAATGCTAGCTGACTGAAAGTCTTCTTGATCACCCTGTTCAGCCAACAACGGTGTAACCCATTTAGTCAGGAAGAATTGGGTACATGCCTATGCAGGCAGCTAAGCTCTTTTTCTGCTGATCTGAAGGCTGGTAGGTGCCAGTGGGATGCGTGTCACAAAAATGATTGCTTTGGGACATGGCTTGTTATCCTGGTCTGTGTGATTGCTAGGATCTGTCAATCCTAAAAAATGCGAAGGGTGGAGAAGTCAAGGGGTTACATCCAGTGAACTCTTTGTTTAGATAACCCTGGCTCTTGGTAGGAAGCCCACTGAATTTCAGGGTCAGCTACACATGTGTGTTTTAGACCTTCAGAAGAGTCAGTCTTCAGATGTGAGTATTTGTACAGTCTTTTGAGGGCAGATTTGAACTCATTCTGCTTGTGTTCCAACTCAATCACCAACAGTGTAATTACAGTTCATATAGCACTGAGCCCAACCAGATGTATGGAAGGACAGTGGCACGTTTGGAAACCAGTCAAATATATGCAAAACATAGCAGAGGTCCATTCACTGAAGAAATAATTGAAATCAAAATTGTTGTTCCTCTAAAAGTGCAGGCTGAGAATATTCTAAAAGACTCAATGTCTATATTATTTACAGGGTTAGAAAATGATCTACAGACTATGAGCAAGGATTGTATAACAGAAGAAACAACCACCAAAAAACTACCTAAAATAAGGAGGACAACTGATGGTTCTGACGTGCCAGTTCCTACACAGAACTTTTCAGCTATTGAACTTGGAGGGAATCCAAAGAACAAAGTGTTTTATCTGAAATAAATGTGCACAAACCAAGAGGGGATTCAAATAAACATAAGACCCCATGTATAATCTCTTAATCTCTGAGGAAGATGGTGATACAGTATGAGTTACGAAATATGACAATATACAGGGCCAGATGGTTTGTAATAGCAAGTATCAAGAGTTTAAAGAGCTGTCTTGTCCCAAAATAGTTTCTCTGTTTAATTAAATTACCTAGATGTGAAAGGGCAATTACAATCTCCTGGCTAGGATCATTGTTTCAATAATTCCCAAATCAGCTTTGCTCACTTGAGATATAAATTACCATCTTTTTCCTTTTTTTTTTTTTTTTTTTTTGGCCATAATATAGGGCTTGAACCACTGGATGCCTGGTTGTGGTACAAATGTAAGCTATAGTATTTTTTAACCGTGGGAACAGTTAAAAGGTGTCAGGTATATTGAGAAGCTTTAGGTTACTGCATTTCTTGGATGACTTCTTGGATTCAAGCACTGGCAACATTTCAGGTTCAAAGGTTTTTGTTTAAAATGAGATTTAATGTATGTAGACTGTAGCATTGCCAATAATATCTTGAACTGGGTGTGTTTTATTGGGTGATTCATAAAGAAAGTCCGACAAAGTATGCACAGTGGTATTGGAATGTGGGTGGGATCAAAGTAATGATTTAGTGGAATATGTTTGTCCAGCACAGCATACAGGAAATCTTCTTTCTGAATAAAGATGGATTTAGCCCATGAGAACCTCAGTATATTTCCAAGTGTCATTTATTCCAGTGAACCCCAGTGAAAATATTAAAGCAAAATGAGAAAGCTGCATCGTTCACCCTCAGATATTCCATTGGCAATGAGACTACAGTCAGACCTGCTGGGAGTAAAGGGCAGGGAAACAGATAAAATTAATGAAAATAACATTGATTTAAAGGGACATTGTCTGCAGTTCCAACAGAGAAGAAAATTCTATCTGTCCTCTAACAGGGTGGTTGCAACATTTTTATTTAAATACAATTTTGCTATTAATTGAGCATCCATAAGCCTGCTGAGCTGGGTTTGTTGTGATTGTACATTTGCATGCATATACCTCACTCTCTCTGCGCTCTTCCTGTTTGCAGCCCTTTCCAAGCAGCATTTTGAAAACCACAGCGTTGATTTTGTTGCTGAGACTAAGGAGCAACTCGTACTGAGAACAAGGAGCTCTAAGACTGGGAGACTGAGTGCTACTTAGAGGGTTTCATACTGGTATGAGTGATAATGTTGTCCTGAGTTCAATCACTGAAAAGCAAGCTGTTACATTTATAAAACATCTGTTTAAATATATTATGTTTAATTTCACTTTGGCTGCTGATCAAGAATTATGTCTCTTTTTTTTAATACTGCTTGCTAAAGAGTAGGAACCTAGTAACCTGCTCTTATCCCTACTTTCTGCACGTTGATGCACTCAGAGGCCAATAACCACCTTGGAAGCCCAGCCAGGCTTTCCCACAGCCCCGCAGGGCTGAGGGATGTCGTGGTCCGATCAGCAGAACACCCCTGCTTTTCTGCATACCTGGAGCATGGTACAGCACATGCTGTACCATGCAATGTACATGTGCTGTACATCAGGAGCCAGAGCAGACAGGCTTTCTCCTTGCTTTGACAGTACCAGTGACATTTTTCAATGCCTCAAAATGATTCAGCGGCTAAACGATGTTATTACAGTAGTCCTAACTGCTTCCTTGGCAAAATCCATACATTTGTGAGGTGGGACAGCTTACTGGAATAAAAGGATAACTAGCAAAAGGAAGGCTGTGGATACCCTGTTTCACAAGGAAAAGTTTTGTGGAGGAGAGGGAGCTTGCAAGACGTACATTCCCACAAAACAAGGGCAGAAAGGGACAAGCTGAACTCTCCTGCGAACAGGAGCTAAAAGAAAGACTGTAGCCCTGAGCCTAGTGCTGGAAAGGATGCAGTATAGGACATATAGGTGCAGATATAATGTCTTCAGGGGCTTTCTACCTTTGACTTTGAAAGGCAGTCTGCTGTTTTTCAAGACCTGTGTATAGAGAATTAACATTCCACAGATGCTATTTAGTCCTCAAAATTTCCTACATCAACTGTGGTTTTTTTAAGGGTATGAATGCTATTAACCCATAGCTTAACGGATCAGCTTTAAATAATATATTACATCCATTTACTCAAATGTACTTTAAGATTTAAATTAGATTAAATACACAGGGAAGATTTTAGTTTGTAATTTGCCCCAGTGAGAAACAGATTAAACAGAAGGCTGTGCTTGCTGTGGTGTCCTTCACCTACCCCTTACAAGTTAATCTGTACAGTTCTCAAAATTGTCAAGGAACAAAACTTCAGGATATTAGGAAATTGAAAATAAAGGAAAAGTTCTTTCTCTTGTAAAGCTTTAGTTTATAGGCATTTATATGCATCTCATGATACCTTTTGGTAAGCAAACAGAAAAGCATGCCGAGTACTGCATGCTACTGCAAGTTAAGAGGAGAGGCAGTGAAAATTTGGCTTATCTTAAAAAAAACCCAAGCTGTTAGAGCGATTTTGTTTCTTTGATCCAGAGTTAGAGTTTTCATAAAGATAGAAC